GCACTAACATCCCATAGATGGCATTAGGTACTAGTTTACTCAGCGAACTAAAATTACTACACTTATTTACATTATTACTATATTACTCAAAGGTCATTATTTCAAAATGTAATTGCAAGGACATAAAAGACTTTTACAATGAACGACACAAATAATTGTATAATGTTATACTAAATAATTATAAGACAACCAACACACATGCAAATTTAATCTATATATCTACTAAACTTACAGGTGTTTTATCTATATTCTGTGAGTGAATCCTTGAGCCAGTGAAAAGTACATCTCGAAACAAGCTGAGTTAAAAAAAGAGTGTGTTCGCAAAAATCTAGTCCGGCATTGTCAAACTTCTCAGATTTATTATATCCAGCCGTGTCCAGCTACTGAGAAGTTTGCCAATGCCGAACAATGTTTTTGCGACACCCCTTTTAAGATTTATTTAAGTGACGAATACTAGCCTATGTCTTTCCCTTAGGACCCATGAATCTCTATTCCAAAATTCATCTAAATTTGTTTGGCGGTATAGTTTATTATTAGTTTTTAAATGTTAATTTGGATATTTCATAAATTGTAGAAAATGTCTGTTAGGAAACAGAATTCCTGTCGTCCTATCGGTTCCACGAAAGTCTTTAAATAAATATGTCGATAAGCAATGATATCTTCACATGCTGCGATAATAATTATACATGCTATGAGGGAAAATGCTTACAAAAATAAAATATTATATTCTAGTATCTCGACGCGTCCCGACATGTCAAGACATGTAGTCCTTCTCGACATAGTTCTAAAATTTTGATGTTATCATATTTGTATAAACATGAATTACTGATTATGAATAATAAATGGAATACACTACCGGCATTTCTCCGAAAACTACAATTTAGGGCTAGTCAAGGCTGGAATGAATAGGTATTTTGTAAACACAGCTGTACTATCGTTCGGCCATATCGCCGCTTACTTTCAAGTGAGTTTGTGGCCAATCGTGCGTCCTTTTACATAAAAGAACTTCCTATAATAATTAATTGTTCATTTTATTCCATAAATGGTTACCAGTTACAATTGTTACTGTTCTACTTGTCGTACAGTTTTAATCCAGCGTTTCGCATTTATACCACCACAAAATGCGGACTGTAATGCGAAACCTAATCACATGCTTTGCTGTCACAATAATAGATGCAACCGTAAACCTTGACGACTACGAGAGAACCAGAAACAGCTTACTCGAAGAAGAAAACGTGCATGCACTAGGAGGAAAACTACACCTCGATAATGACGAAGCAATACTAAACAAAATATTGAAACAGCTCAAGGAAGCTGAAGTAGACGAGTCCTTTAAAAACCCAGAGCGGTTCAATTTCTCAAAACACTATTTCACATACAGAGATGAAATCAGTAACTCGAAAGTGTATCAGATAATCAAACGGATGCCCAAAGGTGGAGCATTGCATATACATAGTACACTGATGTTAGGTGCGGATTATTTCTTAAATCTGACATATGAAGATCATTTATACACTTGCTACACGGACGATATTTTCGAATTACAATTCTCAGACGCTATTCCACAGAGACATTGTCCTGTTAAATGGTCACTCCTTAGCGAACTAAGGCGTACATCCGTTGACGTCAAAGCATTTGATGCGGAAATTATACAACATTTCACCCTAAACACTGAAGAAAAAGATATTAATACTATCTGGGAAAGATTTGAAAAAGCGTGTTATGCAATGCAATCTCTAATAGTGTACAGACCAGTACAAGAAAAATTCTTCTTTGAATCATTGAAAAGATTTTACAATGACAATGTTATGTATATTGAATTAAGAAGCGGTTTACATAACTTATATGAATTAGATGGAACGCAGCATGAACGAATGTATACGATGAAGTTATATCAAAATATTATAGACAAATTCAAAGAAGATTATCCAGATTTTATAGGTATTAAATTGATTGTAACAAAGCACCGAGGATCGGACATCGAACAAATTCGCCAAGCATTGGACTTTGCTAGACAAATTAAAAGGGAAGTTCCTAAAATGTTCGCTGGATTTGACTTAGTAGGGCAAGAGGACAAAGGAAAACCCTTAGTAGACTTTCTTCCAGCTCTGTTAGAAGTCAAAGAAGAAATGAATTTTTACTTCCACTGTGGAGAGACAAATTGGTTTGGCATGGCAACCGATGAAAATTTAATCGATGCAGTATTGTTGGGATCTAAAAGGATTGGACATGGTTATGCGCTGCTAAAACACCCTACTTTGATGAAAATTGTAAACAATAACGATATCGCAGTGGAAGTGAATGTGATCTCAAACGCTGTGCTTAGTTTAGTTCGTGATATAAGAAATCATCCGTTAGCAATATATTTGGCTTTGGATCTTCCCATAGTACTGTCCAGTGACGGTCCAGGAGTCTGGGGTGCAGAACCGTCGTCTCACGATTTCTATATATCTTTTGTAGGTGTGGCAAGTAAGCATGCTGATCTCCGTACCCTGAAACAATTAGCTTTAAACTCAATTAAATATAGTGCTTTAGATAATGATGAGAAGGAAGGTTTCTTTAATGTGTTTAATAAAAGGTGGAGTGAGTTTGTGAAAAATGAAATCACTTTGCAGTCGCAACACAAGAAAGGGGTATCCAAATTCGAGTGTGATTTTGGTCAAGAGGTGTACATCAGTTACAGAAAACTTGCGTATTATTTTTTGTTTTCTTCATGTCGTTACGTCGACAACGAGTGCCGCCCGTAGTTGAAAATTTCTAATGTCAAAAATCTAATGTCAAAAGTCATAAATAATCAAAGCGCCTGCTAAAGAGATTGGGTTATAACAACATACTGCCACCACTTATTTTTAAAATTGTTCAATTATAACGGTCTTCAAAAAAGTTTTTTCATTCACGGCTGTTATCCAAGTCTATTCCACCCCTTTGTATATGGGTGGTACATGTATACCTAGGTCGACCTTTCCCCATGCGTCCATTCACATTCGCACTACAAAGAGTCGTTATTCTAGTAACACCTATCCTTTCCTTATGGCCAAACCAACAAAACATTCCCTTTTGTACTCTAATCACAACATCATCTTGTACAACACCATTATACTTTCTTATTACGTTGTTCCTCTTTCTAACAGTTATTCTGGACTTACTACATAACGTTCTGTTTCTCTAGCAGTAGAGCTCCTTGTGAAAGAGTTTGGTCAAGAAAGTATTGCCACCTTGCCCATTTCTACCCCCAAGCAGTATTATGAGCATTAGTAGTAAGTGTAATTTTGCACCGCCCTTGCAGGATATCATGTGTAATAACCAAAAATAGTTATAAGTTTAATCGGTACCAACCAAATCAAATCTTTGCGATTTAAAGCTCTGGGTGGCACAGTAACTATTATAGGCGAGGGGGTCGTTTACCACATGACTTGTTCTTCCCGTCTTTTGGTATAATAAAAAAAGAAAGTCAATATTAGATTTTGTAATCATATTATTAACAGGAAGAATAAGAATTATTGTATATATAACTGGCTTCGTGGCCGAACGGTTACTATATTGGTCTGCCACGCAGAGGTCCCGGGTTCGACTCCCGGGCCGGGAGAAGTATTTGTATTCGAGAGTTTGGGTCACATTTGTGGTTATCTATGTGTGTCCATGGCACCCGCGATACAGAGTTTCCCTAGTACGGGGTTATGAGTGTGTGCGTTATTTATTTGTTGTTTTTAACTATTTTATATATTATGTTAGGTTAATTTTTGAAGTGAGGTTTATAGGCTTATTTATTATTTAAAAAATAGTGTACTACTGCATTAGACACATACATAAAAACATTAAGAGTATATAATTATCGTTGCAGATATAGCTCTACCAAAATCCTACTATAAAAAATAAAGAAATATTTAATGTAAAATTACGACAATTAGACTTAGAATAATAACGCATAGAAACCTAGTCCGCACACGCTAAGTGAGGCAAATTGAAGCGCGCCCAATGGGCCTACACGAGCGGGCGGGCCTCCAGTGCTCCAGGTCAACTTGCACCGCGAATAGATCAAGAATTTTAGCTAAAATGACGAAATGTGCGGTAAATGAGTGTAAAAATACGTCAGACAAACATAAAATAGATACTTACATCACATTCCACAAGGAAGTAACGCGTTTCCACTTGTATTTTTATATAAATATTCACTTAAACCGAAAATTAACCTACTACTAAAACTAGCCTACATGAATTTGATTTTTGCCTCACTTGTGACAGTTCGTTTGATATGAAACTATCATTCTATGTTATTATTCTAAGCAAATAGACATATTTAATGTGATGGTTTTTTATTTTATACACTAGAACATAAAATCCTATTTTATACACTAGAGCATAAAATCCTATTTTACGCAGCCTACACCCTAGCTAAAGAATATACGAACTTTAAGAGCATGAGAAGTGAAAAATTTTCGATATCAAGTAACGTGACAACAACGAAATTTGTCAAAATTGTTTTCTATTGACTTTTCATTTCGAATAAAACTTCATCTCGACTGATATTAGAATTGAGGTCAAATCAAATTCTTTTGTTTTTCAGAGATGTTCCAAATTTGAATGTAATAATAACATCGAATTCGATGTTATTATGAAGCAATAATAAGATTTTCACAGATAAGAAATTTGTTCTAACAAAACAGTTGGTCGTAATTTGCGGTTTTTGAACACAAATCATAGAGAGTTTATGATATGTGTGTAGATAAAGATATTAATTACACAGGTCATAAGGAAAATTTGTAAAATTACGACGTAACTCATATCTCGTCTGGTTTTCATACTTTGTTAAATATAATTACTAAGTGCATTATCTATTTCCCTATTTGATCATTCCAATATAATGATCTGTGGTTAGTGTTAATGTTTTATGTTTTAAATTTAGTTTAAATGACCAAACCCAGTTCTTACTGTGCTACTAAGTGCACAACAAGAGTCTTAATCGTGCGTCTCGCGTGTCAGATTGTTAATCTCACCACAAAATGCGGACTCTAATACGAAATTTTTTCATATGCGTAGTTGTCACAATCATAAGTGCTAGCGTAATCCTAGAAGATTACGAGAGGAACAGAAACAGCTTACTTGAAGAAGAAAACGTGCATGCTCTCGGAGGAAAACTACAACTCGATAGTGAAGAAGCAATACTAAACAAAATATTGAAGCAGCTCAAGGAAGCTGAAGTAGACGAGTCCTTCAAAAACCCAAACCGGTTCAATTTCTCAAAACACTATTTCACATACAGAGATGAAATCAGTAACTCGAAAGTGTATCAGATAATCAAACGGATGCCCAAAGGCGGAGCATTGCATGTACATGGTACACTGATGTTAGGTGCGGATTATTTGTTAAATCTGACGTATCAAGACCACTTATACACGTGCTACACGGACGACGTTTTCGAATTACAGTTCTCAGATGCTATACCACAGCGACATTGTCCTGTTAAATGGACTCTCCTTACTGAACTAAGGCGTGTGTCAGATGACGTCAAGGCATTTGATGCGGCAATAAAACAACATTTCACCATATATTCTGAAGCACAAGAAGATATCGACATTATCTGGGAAAGATTTGAGAAAGCATGCTATGTAATTAAATCTCTAATATTATACAGACCTGTGCGAGAAAAATTCTTGTATGATTCTTTGAAAAGATTTTACAATGACAATGTTATGTATATCGAATTAAGAAGCGGTTTACATAGCTTATATGAACTAGATGGAACGCAGCATGAACGAATGTATATGGTGAAATTATACCAAAACATTACAAAGAAATTCAAGCAAGATTATCCAGATTTTATAGGTATTAAATTGATTGTAACAAAACACCGAGGATCGGATATTGAACAAATTCGACAAACATTGGACTTTGCTAGACAAATTAAAAGAGAAGTTCCTGAAATGTTTGCTGGATTTGACTTAGTAGGGCAAGAGGACAAAGGAAAACCTTTGGTAGACTTTCTTCCAGCTCTGTTAGAAGCCAAAGAAGAAATTAACTTTTACTTCCACTGTGGAGAAACGAATTGGTTTGGCATGGCAACTGATGAAAATTTAGTCGATGCAGTATTGTTGGGATCTAAAAGGATTGGACATGGTTACGCGCTGACGAAGCACCCTACTTTGATGGCAACTGTGTACAAGAAAGGTATCGCAGTGGAAGTGAATGTACTATCGAATGCTGTGCTTAGTTTAGTCCATGATGTGAGAAATCATCCGTTAGCAGTATTTCTGGCTTTGGACCTTCCTGTAGTATTGTCGAGTGATGATCCAGGTGTCTGGGGTGCAGAACCGTTAGCACACGATTTCTACATATCTTTTGTAGGTGTGGCAAGTAAGCATGCTGATCTTCGCACGCTTAAACAATTAGCTTTAAACTCGATTAAATATAGTGCTCTAGATAATAATGAAAAAGAGAGGTTCTATGGTGGTTTTAATGATCAGTGGAGTGAGTTTGTGAGAAATGAGATCGCTTTGAACTCTTAATATAAGAAAGTAGGGTTGAAAATCGGATTCCGTAGCTCACATTAATAAAACCTTTATAACCAGTTTAGTAGGAGTAGAGGTCCTTGTGAAAGAATTCATCCTGTGAAGTACATATTGCCAGCTTATGCCGCCTACCTTTACCTTATGCCGCTTACCTTTCAAAACCGGAACACAGTAGGTAATGCTGACATTACTGCTTGGCGGATGATATTTTAAACTATAACGAACTTTGACACGTCGACATTTCTCGCCAAAATTACATCAATTAGCAAAAGCTAAGTTCAACATTAGCTCAACTGTTTTCTTATATTTGAGTGTAACCGACAAATTAATATTAAAAAAAATCGTAACTGACACCGTTGTGGCAACCGACACCGATTTTATTATATTACTAAATGACGGGACAAACAAATCGTGCGCCAGAGCTTTAAATCACAAACATCTGAGGGGCACTGCCACTGCGCCCGACACCCTGAGACATAAGTTGACAAGTTCCAAGTGCCTGTAATTTCACCAGCACCTTGACGCTTCGAAACTGGAACGCAGTAATGCTCACATTACTGCTTAGCGGCAGAAACAGCTAAGGTGGCAGTACTACCCTAGACGAACTCTTTCACGAGGAGCTCTACTGCTACTAAATGTTAAAAGGGTGCTGGTGAAATTACAGACTCATGGAACTTGTCAACTTTTGTCAACAAAAAAA